AAAAAAAAAAAAAAAAAAGTTTGAAGTTGCTGTGAGCTGTGATGAGTACCCAGGGCAACGTAGTAAGACTCTGTCTCAAAAAAAAGAAAAGTTGTCCAAAACTAAGGGGTATTCTTTCACTGAATCCAAGTCTAGAGAAAGGAGGTAGGATCTACTCTGACTTGGGCCAGAGCCATCTTTCTAGCATCATCCCCACTTTGAAGAAGTATATCTGGCATAGAAGTACTCAGGCTGGCATGGGGTACTCACAACCCTCAGGCTGGCATAGGGTTTGGTCTGTCTACAGATCTCATGTCTCTCTGTGAGAGGTGAACATCTACTTCCAAGGCTCAGCCACTGACATCAGCCAAAAAGCCAGACGCCAGAGCAGTGCCTGTGGCTCAAAGGAGTAGGGTTGCCAGCCCCATATGCTGGAGGTGGCGGGTTCAAACCCAGCCCCAGCCAAAAACTGCAAAAAAAAATAAAAATAAAAAATAAAAATAAAAATACAGACCCCAGGCAAGGCCATTAGGAGGAGGGTGGCTAAAGAGGGGTAAGTTCTTTTTTTTTTTTTGAGACATAGTCTCAAATTGTTGCCCTGGGTAGAGTGCTGTGTCATCACAGCTCACAGCAACCTCCAACTCTTGGGTTTAAGCTATTCTCTTGCCCCAGACTCCTAAGTAGATGAGACCACAGGTGCCTGCCACAATGCCCGGCTATTTTTTGTTGTTGTTGTTATTGTTGCAGTTGTCATTGTTGTTTTAGCTGGTCCAGGCTGGGTTCAAAACCATCAACTGGGGTGTATGTGGCAGGTGGCCTACCCACTGAGGTACAGGTGCCACCAAGAGGGGTAAGTTCTAAGAGCTCCAAGGGTCATACTGTTGTACATAAGCTGACATCAGAACTGAATTTCTCTTTCAAGGAGCTCAGGGGGCACTATGCTGACCTCTGGGCCACTTAAAAATCTCTATTAACAGCTTGGCCCTCATAGCACAGTGGTTATAGCGCCAGCCACATATACTGTGGGTGGCAGGTTCGAACCTGGCCCAAGCCAGCTAAACAACAATGACAATTGCAACAAAAAAGTAGCTGGGTGTTGTGGTGGTCCCCTGTAGTCCCAGCTACTTGGGGAGCTGAGGCAAGAGAATCACTTAAGCTCAAGAGTTTGAGGCTGCTGTGAGCTATGATGCCAGAGCACTCTACCGAGGGTGACATAGTGAGATTCTGTCTCAAAAAAAAAAAGAAAAGAAAAGACAATCCCTATTAACATATATTTCAACTTAGTCTAAGTGTTACAGGCCCACAGTTCATACCTGCCTCTAATGAACCCTCCCACCAGGCATTCAACAGGCTGAGCCCAAGTCTAGCTCTAGACTCTTGGGTCCCCACACCTTGGCCATGTACTCCCACTAGACTTTTTTGTGTAGCAGAGAAATTCACTAGCAGAAGCAATGTGGAGGGACCTTTTGATAGACAAAGGTACTACACAGATAGATGCCCCAGCTTTGAGCTTCCCACAGACTTTGTTTGTACTAAAAGCCCCAACATCAGCCATGCCTCTGCTGGAATCACAATCAAGAGAGCAAGGTCTCAATCTGTTAGCTGGAGATCAGCCTCTTTCTCATCTTATCTCCATCCCCAGCATTACCAAAAGCTCCTAAAAGGCAACAGTCAAGTCAGTAGTTAGACCATAACTCTGTGGTGCTTAGAGCAGGCTATTGCAGGCCAGCATGTGAGAGAGCACATGTTGCCCTCCCATTTGCCTCCCCACCTAACGTTCTGTGTTCTGATTCCCACAAACTGGGGCACATGGTCCCTAGAGACTCAAAAGGGAAAATACACAAGATGACTAACAGAGTCAAGGGAGATACACACAAAATACAATCAGCCAGAGTCAGTCATGGACTGATTCAATCATAATCAGACCAGGACAAAGAGTGTTGAGATGTGGTATTTATGTTCCACCATCTCCCCTTAAATTATTTCTTTCTCTTTGCCATAGGGATCACTGCAGTACCCTCATCTGCAGTTTGAGAATAAAGTGTCCCCAAATTAGCACTGCACACCAGGTGGATGAACTTCCACTCCTCGCTCTTACTGACATCCAGGCCTGGGAAGCAAGAAGCCAAGACCAGAGAGGCTTCAGAAGCCTGTTAGGAGTCTGAAAGTTTTCAGGAACTTCCTAAGAATCAATATTCCCTATACGTAGAAGAACCTAAAAGGCACCCTATACACTGACCTGGAAAGCAATCACCTCCTTAGAAAGCTCAGCAAACCGCTGAGTTCCACACAACTTAGTGCCAAACAGTTACTCAGCTTTGAGATTCAAACACCTACCTCTCCTCCAAGGCGGCCAGGGCAAAACACCAAGCAGTGGACCTCACCTTCATTCACATCAGGAAACCGCAAGAAGTATTTGAAAAAGGAAGCAAAGGGACGGGACGCGAAAGGGGACTTCCTGCCCTACTATAACCAGCACTGCTTGTTCAAACCACTCAAGGGGCCCTTTCCTAGAGGTACCAAAGCGCCGATATAGCACAACAGGGCAGAGGCCCCAGCTCGGAAGAGACCACACACTCAGCGGAACCAGAGCAGACACGAGCAGACCATCCCCCGCAACTCATAAGCCAATAGAGGGGATGCTTCGGTAGGTCTCCCAACGGCCTCAGTCAGGGATGCACAACTACCCGCCTCCTACCTGCGACAGACTCCAGCGGGCCATGCCCCCTCTCCGCCCATTCCTGCCTCACATACTCGGCCCCAGTCACTTTCACACTCCCAACCTCCCTAGTTTTTCCATCTTCCCCAGCAAAATTTGTCTTCCTGCTTTTCGGCCCTCAACCGGGCCGCCCAGACGGCGGCGCCCACGGCTCAGGCCCCGGCCGGGATCCGCCTCCAGCGCAGCGGCTCCTGCCCCCGCCCCCGCCCCGCCTCTCCGCTCCGTAACCGCTGAGCTCCGTTCCCGCTCCCCGGCGAGGCCCCTCACCCGGGTGGAGCCGATGTCCATCATCACCTCCTCGAAGGCCGCCGTCTCCTCGGCCTGACGCTGCTTCTGCAGCGCGATCTTCTCACTAAATTTGCGCGGATTGGAAGCTGAAGTTGTGGCCGAGCCAGGCCCGTTCGCCCCCGACGTCGCCATCTTCCTCCCCCGCCCCTCCCCGCCACCCTCGCAGTACAAGCCACGGCTTCCGCGGCGGGCTCCGGCCCGGCTCCTCCAGCCGTAGCCCCCCCCGCCGCCGCCCCCGCCCCCGCCGCCTCAGCCCCACCACGAACCCGGCGCAGCCTAGCCCTGACCTGCTGCGCGCCGGGGCTGCCGGGAGCTGTAGTTTGTTTACGGGACTCCTTCACGCCCCTGGGCACGCAGCACTGAGAGGAAATGGACTCCACTTCCCAGCAGCCTTGTGGACTCTGGGCTTTGGGGGATTGGTCTTAGCCTCTTGGCTACTCCCTGCGAGCGGCAAGCTGGGAAAAGTAGTTCTGAATTAATTCCGAGCCTACCAACGGGGAGGGGAAAGGGATTAAGGAGAGGAAAGGGTAGGAGAGAAGGGAGAGGCAAGGAAGAAGGGGTGGAGTCGAAGAGGGAAGAAGGAAGAGACAAAAGGAGGAAAACTTTGTTCATCTTCAGGGAAGGGGCCAAGTGAGAACAATGAAACCTAGGATCGAAAACAGCTGTAAACATCTCGGACTCACCCTCTCAGGTTGGCCACATGCCCACCCCTCCCAAGACAAATGAATCCAATACTATACAGATGTAGAGAAACATCTTTTATTTGGGTAGCATGTCCCAAAACATGGTCAGTTAGTAAAATAGATTCTAGAGAATATGGCCCTAGGCACAGCCCTCCCTCCCCAAAAGTAATCCTGAGGGTGGACATTTTCCTTGGGCTTCTCAGGTATAAAAACAAAGTTTTGGCAGCTCAGTGTTTGTCATATAAGCATGGAGCACCACATCCAAGTCCTGTTTTCTTAAGAGTGTAGCAGCTATAGGTCACTGCAGCTCTCCAATCCTTCCCTCACCCCAGGCCAGAAAACATTTGTCACATCCCAGGATCTGGTACCGAAAAAGAACAAGCAACCCCTCTCTACTGAGGTGCTGGGCAGGGCTCACTGCCACCTCACTGTGCTTTAAGAAAGGAGGGGATTTGTTTGGCACTTTAAAAGAGTGAGAGGGACTAGAGAGGCCAGAGAAGATACCAAAACTGGCAGGGAGAGACCATTTGGCAATAGTTCCCTGGGAAAAGGGAAGTGAAAGATAGATACGAGAGTAGAAGCCAAAAAAATCAACAGGGGTCCAGTCCAAGTGGCAGAGTGCTGAAATGGGTTAGAACCAACAGGATGCTGACTCTGGACTTGTACCTCACCATACCTATACCCCATAGCAGCTGGGTACCCACCTCCACCCCTGCCCCCCAGTGTCAGTCTGTCCTTATATGTAGTGTCCATCCTCTGATTCTAGCACTCAGATGTCTTCCCCAATCCTCCTGCCCTGTGATCATGTCTCTAGGGATGTGACCATCTCTTGTTCCTTGGGCCTGAGGCCAGCCTCTTGTCTGCCTACTTCCCTCTCATTAGTCCTAAAGGCTCCATCTCTATCTCCCAGAGAACATTTGGGTCCTCAGTACTTTCCCTCCCTATTCCTTCTTATTTCCACACACTGTGGGAAAAGGAGGGAGAATAAGGTACCTGACAATGACTCTCCCCTGCCCCTCTCTTGAAGCCCCCTATATTTGGATGAAGAGCAGACCAGTGAGCAGGGCAAAGCCTGCTAGAAGCAGAATGACCTTGAGGATCCTCTGCTCAGAAGTAGCCAGCTCCTGGGGTAGGATCTCCAGGAAGGTGATATAGAGGAAGGTGCCAGCCGCCATGCCCTCTAGCACAGACTGTGCTAGCTGGTGCAGAGGCCCAGCTGACTCTGCTAGGGCTGCCCCTAGCCCGATGCCTAGGGGTGTCATGCATGAGAAGAGGATCCCACAGCCAGCCACCACCTGTGTCCGCAGGTGGCTTTGCAGCAGCCGCAGTGATAAGCTGACAGCCAAGACGCCTTTGTGGAGCAGCAAAGCCAGGCAGAGCTCCATAGCCCGAGCCCGGTCCCGCTGCAACCCTACTGCCAGCCCCTCGAACACCGAGTGCAGGGCCAGGGAAAGGACCAGCACACAGGCACGCAGGGCTGAAGGCACTGCTGGGGCTCCTGCTGCCTGTGGGACCCTTGACCCATCATGCCAGTGCTGTGGCCCACCATTCACTGTTCCCAGTAGAGCCCTTGTCTCCTCCAGAGGTGGTGGCCCTGACTGTTCCTTGTAAGCCAGTGTGATCTGCTCCATCACCAGGACCAGGAAAAAGCCCATGGCCAGGATGAACTCTTGCAGGGGGAACTGGAGCTGTGGGCAGAAGGGACAAGGGGTTCAGGAGATAGCCTAAGAATGAGAATGGTACAGAAAAGTCAGCAGCAGAGTCTAGTGGAAGCCAAATTACACAGACGGTGGGGTCCCACACAGACACAGGGCTATTCTCTCAGTCACATAAAAATAGTTACTTGGTAACATAGACCAGAATGATAGAAGTTCACACAGATTATAGTGTCACTCACAGTGCTATATGTAGGCTAAGATTCTCAACTTTGGCACTATTAAGATTTTGAAGCTGGGCAAAGTGGCTCATTCCTGTAATCCTAGCACTTTGGGAGGCCAAGCTGGGCAGATCGCTGGAGCTCAGGAGTTCGAGACCAGCCTGAGCAAGAGTGAGACCCTGTTTCTACTAAAAGTGAAAAACTGGGCGGCACCTGTGGCTTACTAAGTAGCGTGCTGGCCCCATATACCAAGGGTGGTAGGTTCAAACCTGGTCCTGGCCAAACTACAACAAAAAATAGCCGGGTGTTGTGGCAGGTGCCTGTAGTC